CTTGCAGCTGATAACCAGGTGAGTCCTGGGGTGTACGCCTGGGGTATAGACTCTTACATCACTAACTTAAGTCTATCTAAGTTCTGTAGTTTATCTAAGTTTTGCAGCTCACATTACATCATGAGCATACTGTTTATAGTCTTTTATCCAATACATACACTAATTAATATAATCAACAGTCAATAATCCTATATATTTATGGTACTCTTAGCAGTGGGATAGTTACCATGAGAGTGAATTCCTGATGAAAAGTTTTTGTTTGTTTGTTTGTTTCAGTTGGGTCTGGGGATTGAACCCAGGGACAACTGAGCTACATTCCCAGCCTTTTTTAATTTTAATTTTGATACAGGATCTCATTAAGTTACTTAGGGCTTTGCCAAGTTGCTGGTGCTGGCCTTGAACTTGCAATCCTCCTGTCTCAGCCTCCTGAGTTCCTGGGATTACAGGTTGGCACCACCACACCTGGCACTGATAAAAATGATTTTTGACCCCTTCCTTGGATCTCTCTCATGTGTCCTCTTGCCCTCCCATCTTCTGCCAAGAAATGACACAGCAAAAATGCCCTTTCCAGATGCAGGCTCCATAACCTTGGGATTTTGGCCTCTGTAACAGTAAGAAATAAATCTCTGCTCCTTTTAAATTTCTCAGTCTCAAGTAGTCTGTTTTAGCAGCACAAAATGGACTAAGGCAGTAAGAGATGGGGAAAATAATGTTTTTCCATCTGGATACCCAACTGTCCCAGCAGCATTAATTAAAAAGCCCATGTTTTCCCTACTGCATCTCCCTCATGTAGGAAAGTGTCTATGTGTATGGGTCTGTTTTTCTGGTCTCTATTCTGTTCCATTGGTCTCTTTGCCATCATCATGCCAATACCATGCTGTTTAAATTACTATAATTTATAATAAATCTTGAGATCTTATAAAGCAAATTTTCACAATGCCTTGACAATTTTACATTTCCATATAAAATTTTATTGTTTTTAGCTGCATGAGGTGGTGCCCGCCTATAATCCCAAGTGACTCCAGGGTCTGTGAGGTAAGAGGATCCCAAGATGAGGCCAGTTTAGCAACTTACTGAGGCCCTAAACAACTTAGCAAGACCTGTCTTAAAATAAAAAATTAAAAAGGACTGGGGATRTAGCTTTGTGGTAAAAACACCCTTGAGTTCAATCCTGAGCACCCCTGCCACCTCCTGTTGTAACTATTATTATTTTGGGGGCACTGGGGATTGAACCCAGGGTTGCTTTTACCACTGAGCTACATCCTCAGCTCTATTATTGATTGATTGATTTTTTTTTTTTTTGAGACAGAATCTCACTAAGTTACTGAGGCTAGCCTTGAATTTGTGATCCTCCTGCCTCAGTGCCTCCCACCTCCAACCCATCCCCCTTCCCAGTTTCTGGAATTACAGCTGTGCACCACCATGCCAAATCCATATAAGATTAAAATTTTTTTTGTAGTTGTAGATGGACAGAATTCCTTTATTTTATTTGTATATTTTTATGTGGTGCTGAGGATCAAACCCAGGGCCTCACGCATGCTATAAGATTTTAATCTGGGGTTGATAATATAGCTCAGGGGTAGAGAGCTTGCTTAGCCTTTGTGAGTCCCTGGGTCCAATACTCTGCACTGAAATAAAATAAAATAAAATAAACCTGGGGGCTGGGGATGTGGCTCTAGCGGTAGGGCGCTCGCCTGGCATGCGTGCGGCCCGGGTTCGATCCTCAGCACCACATACCAACAAAGATGTTGTATCCGCCGAGAACTAAAAACTAATATTAAAAAAATTCTCTCTCTCTCTCTGTTTCTCTGTCTCTGTCTCTCTCTCTCTCTCTGTCTCTCTCTCTCTCTCTCTCCTCTCTCACTCTCTCTTTAAAAAAAAAATAAACCTGTTTGGCAAATTCCACAAAAACAAAACAGAAAATTTCTAATGGAAAATTTATTGGTATTCCATGAGATTTATAAATTAATTTGTGGACAACTGACATCTTTACCACATTGGTTCTTTCAACCCACCAACTCTGTAGTTGTCCAATTACTTAGGTCTTCTTTAATGTCATCCAATAAAGTTCTATAAATTTCTACACAGAACTGGAACATCAGCACAGAGACCATATTAACCAGTATCACTACCATCTCCCTAAACAATACAAAAGCTTTTCAAATTTGCCTGGTCATTTAAAATAGTCTCTTGTTTGTTGCACACATGGGGTTGACAAATACATAATGCCCCATCCACCATTACAGCTCATACATAATAGTCTCATTGCCCTAAAATTCTCTGGTGCTCCACCAATTCATTCTGTTACTGGAGATGGAATCTTTTGGCATGGAAACAATAGAAATGAGAGTGAGCCAAGCATTGTGATCACACACAAGCAAGGCTTTAACTGTGGCCGCAGCTGAAGGGAGACAGCACTGAGAGGGATAGGGAATCGGGCTGCTCTTCAGACAAAGTGGGATGTAAACTTTTTATCAACTTGCTGGGGTGGCTAAAGTCGGGTCAGGGACGCTACTCCAAAAGATGTTTCTTTTTGCATGAGACTCAGGTCACCAGGCAGTCACAATCACTCTGTCCTGGGAATTGTTGAKTTACTTTTGCAGCTGGTTACCATTATCCTGTGATAGGGCTGAAGGGCTTTAGGTGCTTTGGCTGTTGCTATTTCTGCTGCTGCTTGAAGCAGAAGGGTGGAGTAAAAGAAAACACAGCCCAGCTCCAATCGGCAATCCACGTGTCTACATGCAGTGCCGAATAGAACCTGTCCCAAAAGGGACAGACATAATATGAAGACGGAGATAACAAGTCTTTTCATCTCATTCCAGTCACCCATCAGACATCTGCAGGCCCAAGCAAAGAGTCCATGTTTTCAGCAAGCGTGACTTTCAGGTCMCTGAAGGGTAACCTACCCAATGCTTATCATCATAACCTACATGTCAGAGGTGTTATTGACAGCAAATGAGAAACTAAAAACATAGCCCAGCTGTGTGACCACCAAAATTAGTGATTTTTGAGCTAAGAAGAAGTGAAGCTGGAGGGTTTATTTAGGTTTTTCCTAAGGAACAATTTCACCTTTTGCAAAAATTCTGCTTTGGTGGTTTTATCATGGTCTCATTGAAAGAACATAGGACCAGGAAGAAAAGAAAAGAAAGCCATGATACAAAGATTAATAGTTTATCACACCCAGGGCCCATTTTTTTGTCCCAGCCTTTTGTCTTACTATGGTAGTCCCTGACTTATCACCACCTGTCTAGTGGGGGAGAGAAATCACACGGACTAAATATAAAATTACTGTGAATTATATGATGAGAAATATTTAGAGACCATAGCAGGGATTCATTTCAGAAATTTGGGGAAACTTCCCTTGAGAAAGTGACTACAGAATTTAAATCAGAAGGAAGGCTGGGATAGGGACTGTTCTAGGCAAAAGGGAACAGAATGTGCAATCTCTGGTAGAAAACAGCCTTGCTCACTGGAAGAYCCAAGATAAACCTAGTATGACTAGGGAGAGCACAGTGTGAAGTGAGACTAAGAGGGAGGTAGGAGCTAGACTATGCAGAGTTATGTTGGCCATGTTAAATATGTTACACTTTATCTTAAGTGTCACTAAAAGTAATTTAGATGTTTTAGGGAAATGGGGCAGAGGAAGTAGTAGACATGATCAAAGTTTTATTTGAAAAAGATCACTGTGTACTGTACAGAACAAATGGGGGTTGGACCTAAGTGACTGCAAGACGATTCATTGAGTTTTAAATTGATTTCCAACTGCATTTATTCCTTCCACTTTCCCATTAAGTAGATTATTTGGGGGAAAAAACAATCAGTTGAACGAATGAAGCTTTTAGATGATTGTTTTGCAAAATGGTTTAYTTCTTTTGCAAAAAAGTATTTTTTTTCTCCTCTGATCACAACTGCAATTTTGGTCCATCAACTTGCTCTTCAAAGTTGGAAAAATAAGGCAACAGGCTCTCCATATCTCAAAATCTGCTTCTTTTCCTGAGCCTCAGTCTCTAAATTGTCTACTCAGTCCCTCCACGTGAGCATCTAATAAAGATTTCAAACTTAACACATATAAAACTCCTGACTTCTGCCTTCAAAATCACTTTTTATTCTTCCAAGTTGTCCTAATGCTTCTTTCATCGCCCATTCAAACCTAATACTATATCCACAAATCTTATAGTTCTAAAATATTTCCAGAATTCAATTTTCATCCCTTCAATTGCTACTATTCTGGTCCAAACCATTATCACTATCGCCTAGATTATTGTAATAATTGCCTATCTGACATCACTTTTCACCAATTAATACATGTTTATTTTCATCTGGCTGCTTTTATGTAATCTCTGGGYGACTGAGGGACTTTCATTCATCCCCATAAACCCTAGTGCAACCTTATACATCTTCATAAATACCTGTTGAAATGAATACTTTTTCTTTTTTCCTAGTACTGGGGAATTGAACCCAGGGGTACTCTACCACTGAACTACATTCCCAGCCATTTTTATTTTTGAGACAGGGTCTGGCTAAGTTGCTAAGGTTTCTGGGCTGGTTGAGAAGCCAACTAGGCGTCTGCTACCCTCATCTAAAACAGCAGGCTCCTTGGATCTGTGTACAGGGGTGAAAATAAGGGGATTGGAAAAAGCCATGAGTAGAAGAAAGCATAATCGTTTTGATCCAACACGGAGGCAGGGGTTATAGGAGGATGAATGGCCAGTTACGACCAAGCACCCAGCCTGCAGAACCAGCAGTCCCAGCCAAGGGTGGCCAAGGGCCACACTGACCTAATCCAAGATGGCGCCGGAGGGTACCAGAAGCGCGGCGGAGGAGGGGCTCTCCCTGACCCAAGATGGCGGTGCGACTGAGGAGAGCCGAGGGGCGGGAGTGCCAGGAGCGTCTCTGCCCTTACTCAAGATGGCAGCCCCGTGGGCGCTGTCCCGGCTCCGCCCCGCGCTCGGCCCCGCCCCCCTCATCCCTCCCTCCGCCCCCTCGCCCTGTCGAGTCGGGTCCGAGGTGCTCGCGCAGAGAGAGCAGGCTGCGGGCACTTGACATGGCGGCAGCGGCGGCAACTGCAGCGACGAAAGGGAATGGAGCCGGCGGTGGCCGGGTCGGGGCGGGCGAAGCCGCCGGCACGCGGAAGAAGAAGGGCCCGGGGCCTCTGGCCACGGCGTACCTGGTCATCTACAATGTGGTGATGACCGCGGGGTGAGGCTGGGGCTCGTGGAGGCGGAGAGGCAGCCTGGCTGGGGGGGAGCTCTGCGGCCGGCGGCCCGCGCGCGCAGTGCAGCCGATGGGCCGGTGCCTGGGACCCGCACTTGGGCGCGGAGGGCGGCGGGGCATCGCGTCGGCCCCGCTCCCTGCCCGCGAGCTTCCGCCTGCGTGGGGGGCGCCGAATTCCCGGGCGCGGGAGACGCGGGCTCCGAGGGGACGCTCGGAGGGCTGCCCGGGCGCCGGCTCCGGAGGGCCTCTCGGGGACCAGCGGGCCGGCCACAGGTGCGGGTCTGGGGGCGGTGGGCCGGCCATCCCGYGGCGCGGAGGACAGCCCACCGTCCAGTCACGCACGGTGAGCAGTTCCAGCCCCGGGGAGTGGAGGGAGCCGCGGCGGCAGTGACCATTCATTTCGGCGGCTCTTTTCAAAATGCAGGCTGGGCTTTAATCTGAAAGGTAGTGGGAAAGCGTTCAAAGTTTTTGGCCAACGACGTGAGCTTTAGATGTATGCTTTAGGGGAGTTTAGACTTTTTAGACTGGATTGGGGTTGGACTGGGGAAGAAGCTGGGGAGTGGAAGGCAGAGTTACTGAGGAAGGGGAGAAGAGACCCCCTGTGTTGCCTTCTTTTAGGTCCATCTTTTAACAGGTTTTTAATTCGAGTTCTGGCATTAGCCGTGTGACTTTGAATGAATTGCYATCATTCTCTAGGCCTTCGATTTTTTTTTCCTCTAAAAATCCTCAAGAACTAAAGAGTTGGGTTAGGTGATCTTAAGGGTTCCTTCAGCCCTGCAGTTCTTTGATCCTATGGTTTTGGTTGGGAGGATTACAGGATCAGGCCATTTGTTACAAATTTTTAAATTATACATTTGTAAAAAACAAAATCCTTAAAACTTTACTTTGAAAAATTTCAAGTTTACAGAATAGTTTACGGAACTGTATAGTGAATATTCGACCTAAATTTATTTTTAGAATTGGGTAATACATGAGCAGARTTCAGAATTCAAAATATACACAGAGGCATACAATGAAAATCTTCCTTGTCTTTCCTTTCCACTCAGACCCCTTTCCTGGAGGCATCTAATTGTGTGTGTCTCATATGCTGATACCAGCACATGCTAATATATATTTAAACAAATATTAATATATATTTACAGTTAAGTACTTTGCTTTCTTGATGAAAAGATATTTCCTGGGAGGATCATAGGCTTCTGCTAGTATTAAAAATGGTAGGTGTGGAGAGATCAGAACTTGTCAAAAGAACATTTTTCTCTTGATTCACAGGTCAGTGAAGAACTAATTACTTTCACATAAGTGGTCACATGGGTTGATTTTTAAAAGAACATTCAGGAATCTGTTGTGTATGTGTGTGTAAGTAAAATTCTTGTCCTAGCAAGGGCATTCATAGATAAGAGCATTGCCCTGGAGAAGAATTTTAAGGTACGTTTGAGGAGGTAAAAAAGGATTCTTTATTCCTGGGTGATGGAACATAAGAGAATGAGGTAGAAGAATAGAKTAGTGTCTTAAGTAAGGAAAAGAAATTGAGATTGTGAGGGTAAAGTAAGGCTCTAATATAATACTAATAAATTAGAGCAGTAATTATTATTGCCCGACTGGGCCAGTTAAACTGTTAAGGAATGTATTTCTTTCATAAACTCCTAATTGATATTCCTGAATAATAGTGTGTGGAAATAGCATAGACCACATACCCCATGRCCTAGTTAAATTTGTACATTTGGGTTCAATTTAGGTACATGCCTTCCAGAAGACAATCCTTAATAATAAAGATCACTTGTTTCATTATAAAACTTAAAAAATTACAAGGTCTGACATCTGTTTTGGGGGAGCGGTACTGGGGATGARTTCCAGGGCACTCAGCCATTGAGCCATATCCCCCTTTCTTTTTTTGTATTTTATTTAAAGACAGGGTCTCACTGAGTTGCTTAGCACCTTGTTTTGCTGAAGCTGGCTTTGAAATCATGATCCTCCTGCCTCAGTCTCCCAAGCCGCTGGGATTACAGGCGTGCGTGCACCRCAGTGCCAGGCTCTAACATTTATTTTTGAGAAGGAGAGTGGATCAAAAATGTAGTATTTCTWGTATTATGCCTGAGCATTCCCATTTTGCATTTTTTAAATCAATAAGCCTATAGTTAGTTTTGAGTTGGTTTTGGGAAATTTAGCTAAAGTACTTTATTTTAAAGAAACACCTTTTTATTCTTATTTCATTTGCAGTTTTTAAAATGATAAGCTTTAAGGTATGGGAATGTTCCAGTAAGAAACTTGTAAAAATAATATAAACCATCTTCTCTCCATCCTGTTATTCTTTAACTCTGTGGACTTCTTGAACTGGTTGTTTTCTTCTTGTGTTAGGCTTTCTGGAACCTACTTCATTTATTTATTTATTTATTTATTAACTTATTTCCTTCATTTTAGTCTTATTCTCAACAGACAAGTTTGTCAAAAATTCAAGCTCCAGATGGGTGAGGTGGTACTGTGTTTTTGCAGGCATTCGTGGTGGGATGTTATTGGWGTGTAGCRCTTCTGTGCATTACAACTTGTCATTTGAAAACTGTATTTAAACTGTGTTTGTCACYTTTCTATATCTATAACAATCCCTGAGATAATCAGCTTATAAAGATAAAAGGTTTWTTTTGGTTCAGTTTTGGAGGTTCCAACCCACGATCATTTTGTCTTATTGCTTTGGGCCTGTGGTGAGGCAGCATATCATGGTGGGAGTGCCTAATGGAGCAAAATTGCTCWCCTCATGGCCAGGGAGCCAGAGAGTCCTAAAAAGGCCATAATCCCATAATCCCATGGGACACACACCTAAAACCTCCCTCTAGGTCCCACCTCTTAAAGGTTTCACCACCTCCCAGTAGTGCAGTCCTAGGATCAAACTTTTAACACAGGGGGTTTGGGGGACACTTAAGATCCAAACCACAACATTTGTAAGTCCAGGATCACTGGTTCTTTAAAAGCAAGTTCTGTTATTGCCATGTTTTTCTATTTTCTTAAATCCTACTTACCCCACCCCATTACTTTTTTCTTTTAATAGGTGGTTGGTTATAGCAGTTGGTTTGGTCAGAGCATACCTGGCTAAGGGGAGCTACCATAGCCTTTATTATTCAATTGAAAAGCCTTTGAAATTCTTCCAAACTGGAGCCTTATTGGAGGTAGGTTTGAGATTTGTTGTTATTGATTTTGATTGTTATAAAGTGGAAAACATAGTATTAAATTATATTAAAGTAGTTATAGCTCAGATTTGGTTTAAGTTTTGTCTCAGCATAATGATACTTGACTGTCTTTTTGATGCTTTAGATAAGGTAAAATCCCATTTAATTAGTGTTACTTGGCATATATTTTATATTTAATTTCTATTACATTTATTTATTATATCTGAATTTTTTTAAAATTCTAGAATATCTTAGGGAAATATTAGGAAATTCAGATACTTTCAGGAGCCATATGATGAAGAATAGAGTGTTAGGAGTGAGAGATATGAGAGAGAATAGGGCCTAGCTCAGGGCATCCAAATTTAAAAACTAGATAAATAAATTTTTTTAAACAAAATTTTATTGATTTCCTAGTATAAAGGGCAATATAAATGTTGGCAAACTCAGGCTTTTGGGGCTGTATAATGGAAATAGTGAAGTTACATACTCTATCTTTGTCTTCTTTCCTGTACATATAGATCAGAATTTTTTAYTATATATTTTTAGTTGTCAGTGGACCTTTATTTTATTTATTTACATGCAKTGCTGAGTGAGAATCGAACCCAGTGTCTCACACATGCTAGGCAAGTGTTTTACCACSAGACACAACCCTAGCCCTATAAGTCAGAATTTCTGAGTTACCCATGACAAAAACCCAGTTCAAACTATTCTAAATAAAAAAGGAATGTACTRATTTCTGTAACTGATAAAGATATAGGGTTAACTTAAGAGATAAAAGGCCAGCTCAACACTGAGAATCAAAGATTTGGTGTTGCCAGACCCTCTTTTTCTGCGTTTCTCTCTTTCTCTGTGAATGCTGGTCTCAGGTTCTACTTCAGAAAGCTTCTCCATATGGTGGGAAGCACAGAGGAAGTTCATTTTTCAAAGCATCTGTGTCGCACACAGTTCTGGAGAAAGATTCTGGGTTGGCCTTACTTTTACATACTGAAACTCTTGCCAGTGATGTGTGATACTTGATTAGTCAGACTTAGGACACATACCCAGCCTTCTGGCCAAGGGACTATAGATTTTGTTAATGGAAAAGGGGGTTTAGGGACATCTTTGGGTACACAAAATCAATAACTGCCATAGTTCATTGTGGTGAAAAACCTTTTGATTGTAGGGAAGATCCAGTACTCAATTTTATTAACCTTAGCCTCCAGGGCAAGCCCGTCATGACATTTATATCTCAGTGGCAGTTTTTGGAATCTGAATCATGAAAAGATACTTAAGAAAAAAATCATTTACTTCCATGAAATCAGATGTGATTCAAAAGCACTTTCACCCTCAGTTTCAAAAGCTGAAAACTGTAGTTTTTGGKTTTTTTTCTCCTAGATAGCAGAGGGGTTTCAGGACTCCTCATACTTACACATTTCAGGTGGGTGGGATGAGGAAGTGAGTTTCCAGCAGGGGATCCTAAGTACCTTTACTCTAACTATGCTGGTTTTACCAACTTTCTCTGTGAATTTGGGCAGCTCTTTTATTWCTTATCCATCTTTCATATTTGGAAAAGAATTAGGTTAAAAAAGATTTCTAAACAGTTTTCTGCCCTAACAGTTTTATTTATTTGTTTGCAGTATTGGTGGTTGAACCCAGGRGTGCTACATCCCCAATACTTTTTATTTTTATTTTGAGACAGGGTCTCACCAAATTTCGATCCTCTGCTGCAGCCTCCTGAGCTGCTGGATTAATTACAGTTGTGCTTCCACYACACTCAGCTCCCCTAGCAGTTTGAATCTAAGGAAACTAGCAATCCTAATGTGAGCCATTTTTTTTAAACTTACAGGCTTGAAATTTTTTTAAAAAAAGAGATAATAATAAATATAGAGGATTTTGCCTGAGAGCTTTGGCCAACAAAGTTCCCTCAAGCTACAGAGAAGGAAATTTGAGGTCAAGATCTTTAGAAACTGCATCAGCACTGATATTAGGGGGTTATATCCAACTGGACTGCTTTAATAATTTGAAGGGGATTCTGTCTCTTTAAGACTTTGTAATATTAGAAATATAATTTTAAAGATTTAAGTATGTTTTAGTAAAGGAAGGGACATTAAACAGTGTGATAGAAAATCCACTTGGGAACCAAATCTTAGACTTTGAAGGATTAGTGTGTTCATCCTTATTGAATTTTTAATAGTGGTTTAAGACAATATTTTGGATTTTGGGTTTTATATCTATTATCCCCACTAAGAACCAGTTTAGTGACAAATTCTGGATTTGATTTTGGGAAAAAAACTGTACATTAGGAAGTWAAGACTACCAGGACTGTGCAGGGAATTACCACTGTACTGTTGAGTAATGGCATAACCCTCAGACAGGGCCGTAGAGCARGCTTGTTAAGATGACTTCCTGTATAGTCAGTTAAGGAGAGTTTTGTCACCTCTCGGACCTGCATTATATAATTATTAGTTGTGTGCAATGTTGGTTAATTACAAATTATTCTTAGGGGAATTATTAGTGGTTTATAATAAATCACGTTTATAGGAGGAGAAGGTAAATCCAGGAAGTTCAGCTATTCATTTATATCTGAATGCTGGATGTTATTTTAGTATGATCTATGGGAATGGGCTTTAAAAGGGAAAGAACAATTATTTGTACTCAAAAAACTTCAGATTTTCTTAGGAAAATATAGCATTTTGGTTTTAAAAGACTTATAACTCTAAGCAATTGCAAATGAGCATGCCGTAATATAATATAAAAAGAAACTTACTTGCCAGTTGTGGTGGCATATGCCTTTAATCCCAGTGGCTCAGGAGGCTGAGGCAGGAAGATCTTGAGTTCAAAGCCAGCCTCAGCAAAAGCAAGGTGCTAAGCAACTCAAGTGAGACCCTGACTGTAAATAAAATACAAAATAGGGCTGTGGATGTGGCTCAGTGGCTGAGTGCCCCTGAGTTCAGACCCCAGTACCTGCCTCCCAAAAAAGAAGCTTGTTTGCTTTCTGAGGAAATTAAATGATTTTTTGCATAATGGATGCAAAGATAGGTTGAATTGGTGATACAGCGATATAGATTTTCAATAAAATGGACACAGATTTAATTGTTTTCTACATACTTATCCAAGAATGTCTTGAGTATTTTTTTATAATAGTTTTCCAAATTATTCTGTGGGTAGTAACTTAAGTATGTTTGGATAATAAGTGGTGTGGAGGTTGAGCCCTTGYTAAAAGGGAGCTTAATCTTTTCTGTGGATAATGACATTAGGACTATTGGATGACAATAAGGTGACAGAAACCTCAACTAATTTAAACAGCAAAAGGGATTTACTATAAGTGCATAGGGTATCCCATAGAATCTAAAGGCAGGGATACAGCCAGGGCTTAGGAAGGACCTGGAATTGGGGACTGGATCACCATAGGGAACCYAGTCATTCTTACTCTATCTTTTTTCTCTACTGTTCTCTCTTTCTGTTCTGTTATTTTCCTGAAGACTAGTTTTCTCAGTGTCTTAGTCTACATGACAGATRATACAGCCAGATCTCCTGAGAATGTATCTCCTTCAATCAGGGGGGCAGCTAGTTGAAAACAGAATCTTACTTCCATTCTTCCAATTTTACATTCCCTTTAAGGAGCTAATTGGTCCAGCTTAAGTCAGGTGTATATTCCTGGGCCAGTCACCTATAAACAGGAGCAAGGTCACTATAACAATACAGAAGGGTTGGAGGGAAGGGGCAGTTTTTAGAAAAAGAATGGTAGGTAGAAAATCCAAGAAGTATTTACCACAGTACTCACAAGATGCACAAAACAATGAAGATTATAATGATACATTTTTTGTTTGTTTGTTTTTGAGATAGGGTCTCACTATGTTGCCCAGTCTGGCCTGGAATTCAAGTGACCCTGCTACCTCAGCCTCCCAAATAGTTAGGATTATGGACATGTGCTACCACACCCAGCTATRATATAATTTATAAGTTAACTTCAATAAAAATGTTGATAATCAGTATTGTGGGCCAAGAGATAAATGTGTGAATAATGTGTTGTCTTTATTTGGATCTTGAGTAATCCTGAGGAGTACATCACTTAGGCGGCAAAAGTACATTTTAAAATGCCATTCCTAGATAAACAAAATGTAATGTATSCATACCATAAAAACAGAGTTAATTACTGATACATGTTATACCTGGATAARCCTCTTTTTGTCCATCTTTTYTTKGGGGGGCGTGTGCCAGGGATTGAACTTAGGGGCACTCAACCACAGAGCCACATCCCTAGCCCAATTTTGTATTTAATTAGACAAGGTCTCACTGAGTTGCTTAGYGCCTCACCATTGCTGAGGTTGGCTATCTATGTATCTATCTATACATACACACACACACACACACACACATACATATTTTTTTTTATTTGTAGTTGGACACAATACCTTTATTTCACTTATTTATTTTTTTATGTGGTACTGAGGATCGAACCCAGGGCCTTGCACATTCCAGGCCAGCGCTCTACTGCTAAGTCACAACCCCAGCCCCTGAAGCTGGCTTTGAACTACCAATCATCTTGTTTCAGGCTYCTGAGCTTCTCAGATTACAGATGTGTGCCACTGGGTCCAGCTGTCCATCATTTTTTATTGGTGCATTACAACATAATGGAGTGGGATTCATTGTTACATATTTGTACATGTACATGATATAATTTGGTCATTATCATTCCCCAGTATTTCCCCTTTCCCTTCCCYTCCTCCCTCCCCCTGGTTCCTTTCCTCTACTTTATTTTTCTCCCTTGAATTTTTATGATAGCTGAAACTTAAGAACATGGCTATGTAGAAGAAGGCAGATGCACAAAAAAGCCCCTAACTATATGATTCCATTTATATGAAATATCCAGAATAGACAACTCCATAGAGACAGAAAGTAGATAGTGATTGCCAGGGGTTATGGGGAGGAAAGAGTGGGGAGTGACTACTAATGGGCACACATGGAATTTCTTTTTAAGGTGATGAAAATGTTCTTGGAATAAATAGAGGTGATGGCCA